GTCTCTCTTTTCCACCCTCCCCTGTCACATCTGGAGCACTGACAGTAATTCCTGGACCTGGGAAAGAGGACATAAACAATACAGCAGTTTGCTATAACTGAACCAGCTCAGGGTAAAGTGCAAAAGAAAATATAATTTTAAAATATCGATGTCCTTTTCCTTTGCAATTTTTCTACCAACTTTTGCTTAAGAAATGACTAATGAGATCCAGTGGAATCGACGCCTATTGGCTCCGTGTAAGTTATTTCTGTCTGTTACTATGTGAAGTAGTAAGCTGGTATTCAGCAACATGCAAACTAGAAAAGTTAGAATAAACTATAAATATTTTTCTCTATACTATTTTTTGCCAGATAATTATCTAGTGAGGCAGAGGATGCAGCAGCTGAATAGCTGATTTTATTTATTTATAAAATAAAATCTTACATGATTGTGTATCTTCTCTGGTGCATTTTCTGGATAGTTTTTATGCAGTTGTTGCCCCCAGCATCCTGTGCCCTCCCGCACACTCCTTTGTTGCTGCACGTTTTCCTCTCTGATCATAGCTTTGGTGCTGCAAGCAGTGCTCTTCCTCTCTGTTTGGCTGTCACAACCTCTAGTGGTGGTGCCCTACTTTGTAGCAGGGCCTTCAGTTGCAATTGCAATAAAAACCACAAGGAATCACAAATAATGATTTTTACTCTTGTGTCTGCCACTTCGAATACAAGTGTTGTGCTCTACAAGCTGCAAGAAGAATCTTTCCATTTATGCTTGCCTATGTCACACACGCACAAATGTATTTCTTAGAAAGGACATAAAATGTCTGCTTAAATTGTCCTAGAAGCAGCGGAGAACCTTTCGCAAGAATCCTGAAAACCCTGCTAGAAAAATGATAGTTTCTTTGTGCAGGTTGAATAATGCCCTAAAACAACTAATTTCAATTATTTTCCTTGGTAGCATAAATGTATTTGTCAAACGGGTTTTTAAAATACCACACAGAGAGGTATTTTCTACTGTAAGAATGGGAAACTAGAATGTGAAAGTGCAAATATATTTGCCCTCATGGACCCTTGCTCTCTCCTAGGATCTCTCTGAAGTCAGTATTTAATTTAACTTTCAGGGTTCCTATGTTCCCTCTTCTGTTTTTTCTGTGTTTCCAGCTAATGGGATTCTACAAAAGCATTGCAGGTCTCTGTGTGAGGGTCTGCTTGTCATCAATATACTTTTAATAGCATAAATAGTATGTCACCTTTTTAATTTAAAACATTAGTCACCAACAATTCCGATTGTATCATTATTTTAAATGTCAACATCTAGAAGTAGAAGTAATAAAGCACAGAAGCTCGTGAGTTGTGAAGCTCATAGAAACTCTGAAAGAAGCAAAATTAAATATCCTTCTTAAGCACCAATTCCTTCACTTGTGGGGAGCAGATAAAATACTGTGGTTTGATACCTTCCTGCTTCTCCCCTCTTTTAGAACGCTCCATGGAAACGATATTTCCAGTGTTCCCGAAGGTTCTTTCAACGACCTGGTATCCCTGTCCCATCTGTAAGTACTTCTGTCTGAGTTCATCTGTTTGATTGACGGTTTCAGATTTATAAAACAGTACATATTATTACAAATTTAAGATTGTATAGCTTTTCTGTTTTTTCTGCTCTTTTGCCATGTTCTGCTCTGGATATTCATAGCGCATCTGTTCAAAGGAAATAAAAAAATACTAGAACCTGTTGTTACTAGTTACCGAAATATTTTCTTAAGGAAAACCAAATGAGAAATGTGACAGTTTCCTCTTCTGTGGACTTTGTGTTTAAGGCTTTCTTTCAGTGTTGTCTGTGTGAAATGCAGAGTGTGTTATGGTCTAAGAGTGAGACAGGAAACCTCCCACAAAGAGCAAATATTAAGCAAATGTGAATTCTGTGCTTAATAAGTGTCATATGTTTTGCATACTGAATTGTTGTCAGTATATGAACTTGTTGATGAATCACTAGTTCAGGCATATATATTTAATCATATGGAAATTGGCCATTTCACAGCATTAATACTTCTTTCCATAATTTGCAAAAATTGTTAGAAGTTTCAGATATTTCAGGAAATTACTATTGTATTGGTGGAGGTCCAGGATATTTTTAAATGCAGTTCAGTTGATGAAAGAACTGTAAAGACAAATAGCTGTGGTTGTTACAAAATAAACCTGAAGTGTAACAGTTGGTGCCAAATGAGTGAACAGAAAATGTTTTTTTACTGAGATAATATGTGATACTGCACATTATTAAACAATAGGTGTAAAGGAAAAGTAATTTTGTGTAGGATGTTTCTTGATTACTGTCCTCAAGTAATCAGAAGGTTGGGTATGTCTCGGTCATTTTGTGAAGTGACTCATTTCACAAGTTGATACGGATATTTTCTGCTCTAATGCTGCCCTCATGCATGCGAGTTGATGTTGATGTATGCACATCGAGACATAGAAACAGATATGTGTGCATTTAACATAGGTTTTATATCTCTGTTTCTCTCTTTGCAACCTTAAATGTGCCTGCCAGAACACTTACCTGAACACATATTTACATATTTTCTGGATAGCAAATATGTCCTCGGACTCCTTATTTCTGTGTAACAGCTTTCTGTCTCAGTTTCTCTCTAGACAACAAAAAATAAAGATATGTCTGATTGGCAGGGACAGAAATCATATGTGAGCAACTTAGGTAATTTCAATTTCAACTGAGAAATAACCTGCTCTGTTTCAAGCTTACACCTTGGTATCTAAGTCAGAGAAAATATTCGTTTTGCACAAAATGTATTTCTTCATCATGTTCTCAATATAGTCAAGTCATTTTATATGTTGTTTTGGAATGAAAGTCTGACTGTGCTGAAGCCCTGCATCTCCTTTTGGAAGCGCAGTGACACCTTCCATACTGGGAATCTGGCTTCTGAGGGTATTTTTAGAACTCAAGAGATAAACATATCATGCCCCATTTGTTTGGATTTTCCTCGGGGTTTACTTTAAATGAAGTGCAGATACAATTTTCGTGGGTAAACTGTTCGCCTTAGGGAGTGATAAAAACCCCTTTGGCCCAATACAGTCACTGCAGTCTCTCTGTTCAGATGTATGTGCTGCCAGAAATGTAAAATACGCAAAGCTCAAATGAACAGTAATAAATAGGATCCATAAAATAAATAAGACCTGTCTGGGGTGTAATTTGCACAGCTGAACAATTGAATTTTACAGTGCAATTGTGCTCTCCGATTTCTTAAACAGGATTCTGAAACTTTTAGCAACCACAATGATTTTGCTCTTCACATGCCAGAAAAAGCTGTGCTTACTCAAACGAAGTAATGCATAACTGAAAATAAAGTCATTCTGAGCTCTTCCTGATATATAGATCTTCAAGGAGAAAGCATGCACTTGGAATAATTTTGAAAATTATACAAGGGGTTGCTACTCATCAAACTCATAATGCGTGAGAGAACAAAATTTTATGTTAACTGTACAAGCTGTGTGGCTAAGAGCAGGATGGGTGTTATGGCTGGAGAAAGCTGACTACCAAGGTGTTGAGCAGGATGATCAGCCTGGCCTTCTGCATCAGTACAGTTTGGGGGGAGGGGAAGAGGGAGGGTATCAAATTAACCTTTAGAATTGCAAAGAAATATTTGTGTACATAGACAAAACTATTGATTTTGGTCAGTCTTTTGTAATAGCTTTAAATTGGTTTGTAATTGGAAGAACAAAACTGAGATCTAGACACTTCAATCACTTTTTCCATAGCTGTTTAAAGCCTGCAAGAAAACGTTCACCAAATTTCCTTTACATTGTAAACATAATATTGTTGTAATGTAACTATTATGACAAACTATATAGCTGATATACCTCACTAAAGACAGAGGAAGGTTTGTACATGATACGTATACACACTGTTTTTGTTTACTATTTATTACTTTGTTTACTTGAATCATACAATTTAAGCCATGACTCTACTAACTTGTTTAGTCCAGGGCAACGATAAAAATGTTACAGCACTACGGAAGAATCACATATATTAATACTTAACAAGAAACCAAAATCTGTTGGGGTAGAACTGAGACCTTCTCAGTTAGGTCGGTTCCTGCAGTTGCTGTCCTCACCATTCACATACACACAACTCTGTAGCTGATTCAGTTTCCCAAATACTGCCCACACATAAACTGACCTCTCGGCACTCCAGGGACTCCACAAAGAAACCCTCATCTTTACTCAAGTTTATGCTAGTTACCTGTAAAAATAAGCTGTATCCTCCTCTGTTTCTCCGCATTATCATGGCTAGAGTTATTTTAATTCACTTTATTCTAAGTTGCCTCAAAAAAAAAGTGTCTGAACAGAAATATCTGCACAACATTTTGAAAATGCTGCTGCTGGTATTTCATTACAGCACAAGATATTTTTACCTTCTGGAAATATTTTGCTATAGTGGGCAAAGAAATAGAGAGAGTGTGTTAGAACTCATGAATGAAAATACAAGAATTCGCTATAGTTCCTAGAAATGGGGGAAAAAAAAAACCCCACACAAAAGCCCCCACAAACAAAAGAACGGAAAGATACATGTGATAATTTCTGCAGTCGTACAACAATGCTATTGGTAATCATTTCTAGTGTCTATAGAGCAGCTTTATTTCTAACGTAGTATATAAAGATTAATTAACATGGTAACTAGCTTTCCGTTGTCCTCCCACTTCCATTTTATATATGTCAGTTACTCAACGCTAAAGTTAATTTCTTGGTCCAACTTTCACTGCTGCATTTTGTTTGACCTTGGACAAGTGAGCCAGTTGATCACAGTTACAGGGTCAAAAAGTCAACCCAGTAGGTTTTTTTCCATTGTAAGCACTGGATTTACAGAAGGAATGGATGGATATTTTTTAATACTGTGCTGCAGTACACATTTAATTTTGATGAATGAGCCCTAGACAGGGTTTGAACCTATGAACTCTCATTATGAATCTGTCTAGGGCACAGTGGGTTCATTAGTCACTCCAATAGAAATGTATCAACAAATTTACTGAGGTTTCTATCTTAATATCCTGTCTGATATGTTTTTATTTGAAAGAAGCTTGAGTTTAAAATACCATCTTAAAAATAGTTTATAACATATGCAGAAACAGTAAAGTCTAAAAACCAATCTGAATTATTGGTTTCTTTAGTATCTCTTCCTTATGCTAACCTTTAGTTAATTTTCTTCCCATGGCAATTCAGGTGTTATACAGCTAAAGCCTTACATTTACTTTCAGCAAAATAAATTCAGACTTCCAACATGCATTTCTTCACACTTTCAAAAATTAGTTGTTTTTAAACTGACTTTTCTGAAGCCTGGACTTCGTTTGTAATTGACTGAGTGCCTGAAAAGACACTTTCCTTAAGAGAAAAATAAATTAATCAAGGCAGCACCTAAATTTAAGGTAAACAGTTTTTTTTCTTTTGGATAGATCACCATGAATAATGAAAAAGTTCTGTGAATTATAATTACACTATGTGAATGCATCTACTTCAACCATATGACTTAACTCAAGTGATGGGTTAACCAGCATAAGTGTTTTCAAAGCCAGAAACAAACTTAGCAGACAGCAGGTTGCAGTTTTGAAAACAGGGGTATCCTCTGTGTGCATGTTTCATCTAGTGAGGAGACATTAACGTGAGTCATCAGATCCAAACTAAATTACACAATTCGCTGTTAGAATATGCTCATGAAGGCCAAAGACTTAAATAAAAGAAACCAACATGATAAATTTGATGAAAGCAATATGTCTGGCATCATTGCTCAAGCACAATTGTTTGAAAAAGTGACTTATTGTTTGAAAAAGTCATTTGTTGTTAGATATTTATACAACCTCCCTAGCTAATGATGGGAAGAAAGGAAAAGAGTGGGAATACTGGAGGAGATAAATCTAAAAGACATCCTGAATACTCAGAAGATCTTTCCCACATTTTGAAGTAAAGCATTCCTGTAAAAGTGTAGAATAAAATGTGCCTCAATATGATCAGGGATGTTATCTTTGCTTGCAAGCCAAAATAAGTGCTGTTAATTGTTTTACACCACCAGGGCTCTCGGTACCAACCCCTTGCACTGTGATTGCAACCTCCGCTGGCTTTCCGAGTGGGTGAAGGCAGGGTACAAAGAGCCAGGGATAGCCCGCTGCAGCGGGCCTGACGCCATGGTGGACAGGCTGCTGCTCACAACACCGACTCACCACTTCCAGTGCAAAGGTAGGAGCAAGCTGGGAGGCTCTCTGTTCTGTCCTGTTGCTGTTCCTCATATACAGTGCTTTATTTTAATACTCGTGGAAGCTGTTTGGTTTTAAAGTGAGTTTGGGGGGGAGTTGGGTTTGGCTTTCATTTTCTGAACCATCACATTACATTCAAGTTGCATTTTCAAGTGTTCCTCCACAAAGTGCAGTTAACTGCGCCACTGGAAGGAAAACCAGCAGACCCCAGAAGAGTTAGTATTCCTGTTGCTCGCACCAGATTATGTAATGGCAAGTTAGCATATAGGATGTTGTTAGAACTTACTTGAGCAAATAAATTGGTTTTGGCCTTCTACTTACCCCAGAAAAATTTGATAAAATAAGGGTTATTTTAAAAATAGAGAGCACTCTAGTTATTATGTACATTTACTTGAAAACTGAGAAACTGAGACTTCTTCTGGAAAGCAAATATTTACCAAAAGTACATTTTCATTTGAAGATCTGCAAACTGTCCTCATCAGCTCTGTATCAGAAACTGTAGATTATGGAAAATGTTTCATGTTTGAATACAGTGTACATTCACTCAGAGAGGGTTGAGGTGCAGCTATTAACGATTAGGGGTAGTCCATGATAGGAGTATGCTGCATTAGAGAGCAGTTAGACAAATGATAAGGAGCACAATTTTTTGTGGATCAAGTAGCTTATTACTGAATGCAGATTAGGATATACCTGTATGTTCTTATCGTAAAAAAAGTTTTGTAGGTTCACTTAGGTTACCAGCAAGGATGTGAAGATGGAGCTATATTTATAGTGGAAAAGATGGGTTAGTAGCCTCTCTTAGAAATGGGAATGAAGGCATAAAGCCTGGTTTTATGTCTCTCAGAGTGCCATGCACATTTACAGTACTGCTTGGCAGCATGATTTTATAGAGACTGGGATTAAATTGCTGAACAAACAAATGATGGTGTTGATGTGGGTTTAGAACACAAGTTCTCAAGACTGAGCTGAATTTTATGTCCTTTCAAATATATTTTAAATAACTTCAACCTTGTAATTTAATTACTTTGAAATGTCAGTCTCAAAACTATCAGAACCCTGACTATAATTACCAGAACTACAGACTTTGTAATAGTCTTTCAAATGTGAAGTACCAATACACCCTAGATACTAAAAATACCAAATAATGTACTTGTTCACACAAAGTGAAACAAATAAATGATTGTATTTACATATTACAGGGTCTGAAAATGAATCCAGAAACAGAAGCTAGATGACTTCTTCATTCTGAAACTGTGATATATCAATAGTTACGCTCACTTTTTCTCAAAACTAAGCAAGCAACTCTTAGGCAAGAGATAAGTAAACCTGTGATCCAGACTATCAAAAACATATGTATGTTTTTTATGTAAATATTACTTTGGTCCACTAGGAAGCTGGTGGGCTTTATCCCAACTGTCTCTGTGGCTCGCTTTATCTGAATAGAAAAGGAGAAAAAAGTGTTGATTCGGAGGTGGTCTTGGGACAAGCAGAAACTGGTGATGGTTTGAATGAGTGGCACTATACTCCAAGAAGCTCCAGGCCCTAGCAAAATTCACCTTTCCTCATCACAATACATATATTTTGAAAAACAATGTATGAGTTGGTAGTCTAACTGAACCCATTTCCCATGTGCATGTTTAAGATCCAATGCCTTGTGCTATTCTGTCTGGACATCGGTGATGCTTTTTTATGGTAAAGCACCAGGATCTATGACAATGTCAAGTGCCGGTTTACCCTCGGGCTGGAGCCATCTGCGTGCCCTGTGACAGGGTACGGTGCGGCCTTGGTTTGTCCTGCAGCTGCATCGCCCTCTCATCACTGAGCTGTAGCTGTGACATGTGCCTGTCAGCAGAAGAGCGAGACTGACTGTGTCTTGGACAGAATGTCCAAGGATATGTCCGTACTTCTGTCTGTGTACATTCAGTCCTAGCTCAATTACTGCTAGCACAGAGCTCAGGGTGGGCTGAGCCCCCCCGTCCCCCTAAAAGTCTGGGTCATTGCTGCAGAAGTCAGCCCATGCTGAGCTTCGTACCTTGAGATGCTTGTATAAAGGTAGTGCATAGATGTCCTCTGTGGCCTCCGGTAACTTTCACATTAAAAAAAGTAGGGTTTAACTTACTCTTGTTAAAATTATGGTTTTAGCCTGTGACTGAGCAGAAGGTTATGTCTCAGCAGAGCCAAAAAAATAAAAGTATGTAATGTGCAAGTCATGCAAACTCAAGCTCTGCTTTTTATTAAATTGCCCTCCTAGTTATGCAGTAGAGGAAAGGAATGTGCTGGGCTGAGGGCATTTTGCTGAACGGATTTATAAATCAAATCCACAAGGGCAAACTAATGAACTACTTAACTGCTAGGAACTAACAATGTTCTTATTAGCTCCTACATTGATTAGCTTTGATCTATGCCATAGGAATAAATGGAAAATGTACCGTGTGTATTGTGAAATAAATAAATAATAGAACAAATTCTGGTGTAGTGACCTCTAAATCTAGAAAAGCAGCACTGCTGCCTGTCTCATGAGCTCTCCGAGGAGCTACCTTCGTATATTCTTCACGTATTCTACCTTCAAGACAAAAGTAGCTCAGATATGTCATATTCCACCCCCTGTCAGTGCCAGAAATTCATATGTTATTTCCTCTTACTGTCCTAGCTCCAAGTTAAAAACATGTATGGCATTTAGTTAGACATAAACGCAAAGATAGAAGAGGATGACAGCAGTCTTTTATTTCATTTTTTGGATTTGTTACTTCTTGTGTATTTTTTCCTCTCGTTATTGCATGTTGCACTCTGCAATCAGCTGTGCCCTGTTAACAGAGCATTGCATGTTGCACTCTGCAGAGAGTGGCCCTGGTAACACCACCATCAGGACAGGATCAGGATATAGCCTTTACATTGCAGGTGCTTTTCAGCTGAGACTCCTTGGTACCCATTTCTGTCGTGTTCTTACCCCCTGTTGGTGCTGTGCAAGTATTCAAAGTTAATAATGAAGGTTTGTATCTCATACAGGATGGCCCAAAGCAAATCCTTGACTGGAAGGGATTTTTTCATCCCTAGTTTTGGTAACCTACAGCTCCACCTTCTCTCTAACATCAAGTATAAGCTTCTTTTCTTCACTTTTAGGATGTTTCACAATTTACTCCTCCTTATCATTTATCATGCAATAACAGAAGCTCTGTACCCACTTCTGATTAGCACAGGACCAATTTTAAGTTATTTTAAAATTTATTTCCTTAAAAATGAAATAAAATTATTTTAGGATCTTTACGGCCTGATATAATTAAAGCCCTTTTAAAGTGTTAGGTTTTATTTTTTACATCTAAAAACTCATTAATATTCAAAATTCGTCCACTTCAAAATCACCATTTCTTTAACTGTAAATGTAACTGTCTAAATTAGCTTTCTGTAAAATCTCATCAATAAAATATTGATTGACTTGGTACCCCAAATGTACTTACTATTGTTTTGGTCTGTGTTAATTTTCCTGCTTGCCCGCAAACATCGCTACTTCTCTGGAAGAATTCTGTTAAAAATGCGGTTTAATAAATGGTTTAAATATGGCTGTGCATATTTACCTGCATACATTTACATCTTTGCATATTTGTCTTTGTTGCATTTTGCCGAGATCGCTGAATGTTGATAATCATTCTTCTGGGCAAAACAGGAAGAAAATAAGTTTTGAACTCTGTTAAAATTAAGGATGGTAGAACACTTTGCACCTAAATATTCCCATAAGCCTCTAATTAAATCTTTCTTATGCATGTTTTTCATTTCTGCTGTTGCATCTGCACTTTCATTCTTGTTACCAGCCATAGAAATGTCATGTTATAGTTCCCTAGGGGTTGCTATTGCAGAATTTCCAGCACTGAGAGAAGGAAAAATTGCTGAAAGCCATATATATAAGCCCACTCTCTGGAGATTCCCAACCTGTTTTTTCAGAGCTGATGTTTGCATGTCCAGGAGAATATAAGCATCATTGAGACTTGCCTAGCACTGGATTTAAGTACTTAAAATCTCTCTAATCCCTGGGAATCCCGTGCTGTTGTGTAAAGTTGCACGCACAGCATGCACGTTTGTGCCAACAAAGGGTGAATATTGCATTAGGAAAAAATATATGTGTGAGTACGGGAGGTATTAATTCTGTAATCCAGTTCTCTATTAATACAGTGTGTTTTGCCTTTCCAGAGCCGGTAGATATCAGTGTTGTGTCCAAGTGTAACCCCTGCCTCTCCAATCCATGTAAGAACAATGGGACATGCAACAATGATCCTGTGGAGTTTTATCAATGCACTTGCCCTTTTGGCTTCAAGGTATGTCTACAAATGAACACATGAAAAGCAATAAAGTGTTCCCCATCCCTTCTGTCATCTTAATTTTTGTACCATGAGAAGTCAATTTTACTGGCAACTGAGCTTAAAAGATCTCTTACTCAAGCAGATTGTGTGTGACCTTTCAACTGCGCCCCGCTACAAATTTTATCCTGTGCAATAGGAAAGGCATTTCTTTCTCTCTGTGCCGTGACTATACAGATCATCCTGAGCAATTTGCTATAGTTGACCCTACTTTGAGCAGGGTGGTTGGACTAGATGATCTCCAGAGATCGCTTCCAACCTTGGGCATTCTCTGATTCTGTGATGTAGACATCCATATGAAATGGCAAGTTGATTTTATCTTCCTTTTCATTTCTTTTCTTTTGCCAGCCACAAGATAACCATTTCATAGGCTGCCAGGCCAAAAGGGAGGCAGTTCAGATGAGAATTAAGGACTGGCTTAGTCCACAGTGACAGAATGTTGATACTTGCTAGCTTACATCCATCTCACACAGACTGATTAACAGGAAGGTGATAACTGATTAGACACAAGCACTAGCTCAGCTGTCTCTGACTTCTGAGCGCTAACGTCCATAGAGCGATCTGCAAATGTTAAATCCTGTAGATGCCAAGCATTGTGAGCATGCAGGGTCAGTTTCTTGATAACCCATTTGAAAATCGGAAAATCATGTCATTGCAGAATGCAATTCTTTGGTAGTGATGTATAACTCCCACTGTTAACACTGCATCATGAGAGCTTAAGGCTACCAAGACTTTGTTTCAGAGTTGATATAACTGGAAACTTAGCTCAGTAGTCAGTAGCTGAAGGATTAAGTATAAGTAATAAATGAGGCATATGATCTGTTCACAGCCTGGGGGGGATTGGATGTTACGGCCAAAGAAGTAGGTTGCATCATGTAGACTGTGATTTTATTTGCCTCATCGGATATTTCTTACAGAGTCATGGTCAGTGAAGCAGATGCTCATAAAACACAGAGTAATAAGAACTATAGGGAAAAAAAAAGAAGGGCAAAACCAGACATACGTGTGGGAAGTAAGCACAAGTACATTTCAGGTAGGATTTAGGAATTAGTTGGTTCTGATGATGTCACCATTTCCCTTCTCTGTTTGCCTCGGATACATCCCAGATGGTAACAGAGTAATTGTGGTAGATCCCTGAAACATTGGAAAAGGGAGGATGTAAAGCTCATTTCTTCTATTTCACCCCAGTGCCCCCATGCTTGGTACTCAAGAATAATAACAATTCTCCTAAATAATTGAAAAAGCCGTTGGAAATTTCATCTCATTAAAAATCCTTTTACCCACTAGCATATCAACCAGCAACTTTTCTAAGATTTTAAAAGACGACATTGTCAAAAATTCATTCAACCGAAACGAAATACTTGGTAACAATGGATGTGTCTTTCCAATGAGGGAAACTGTGGCTGTTTATCTCCTTGGGTTAATAGAACAGTCATTTTAATTTGATGTTTAACATAAACTAGGTTGAATTCTTCAGATGGGACTAGGTGACTCTTAGGATAACTTAGAAAGTAAAAGCTTTCAAAACTAGCAGGAAAATACATCAATCTTTGTGTATGTCTTACTCTATAAGGCATGTATCGTGGAACAGATAACCAGGTAGTTCAAAGTAGAAATGTGTTTGTTATGAGCATATCTTTTTTTTGCCCTTAGTTTTTTCTTTTTTTTTTTTCAATATTATTTCTGTATTAGCAAATGCACTAGTATAGATGCATTTATACTGCTAGAAGACATGTTTACAAAGGGAGGATTTATTAACAAGAATAATCCTCTAGTTACATTAGCAATCACTTTCTAGTGTACATTAGACCTCAGTATACATCGTTTTACTTAGAAAGGTTCTGATAAACTCTTGAAGTGACTCAGTTTAAACATCTCATAGAGCATCCAGCTTTTCTCCTCTCTCACACACTTTCTCAGGTGACATTCAGTGTGTGAATGTAAAACCTAAAACCACTTGTGTGCTTGTAAGCACCAAGCTGTCATCCAAGCATGGCAAAGAGCAAACAGACCCAGGCATGGCACTTAGAGCAGAGTTTAAAAATACTGACTGGGTAACAGTACAGGGAGAATCGGTGGAAATTTAATAAGCGAAAAAGAACTGCGTGTCTTTACCACAGGTTTTTGAATAAAAATGAAACTTGACAGGTCCAAATGCAAACCATATGAAAGGAGCACTCTATCTACCACGCAGTTCTCCATCAGAGATTCATGCTAATTCAATAACAATACCTTGCTTCCTTCTCACCAGCCAGCACCAAACAGCTCTATCCATCTGGAAGCTATTTCCCAGACCTTGATAAATTGCCCTAAATCTGCCCTCTCAGCATTTGTTTTTCCTTGTTTGATGTAGATTTTGAAAAAATCCTGTGTGGAAGAGTGCATCAATAAAGTGAAAAACCCAGCCTTTTTTCAAATGTAAGCTCATTCAAATGAGCTGACAGCTTTATAATGTTCCCTGGAAAGGGACAGACAGTTACAGACCGCTTTCTGGGGTTCCTGTGCTCATGCTAGCCTTCAGAAAAAAAACAGTAGGCCAACTAGCAGAAAGCCACCTAAGTTGCCGGTTGCCAAACTGGTGGCTGATGGAATCAGGAACTTCTACCAGTTAACTGTAGTTACAAAAGCCTATAGTTTTATTTTTCACTATCACATTCATGATGGCTCAATCCCTTATTTTTCATGATCACAAAAATGTTTTTGCTATTGAATGCATACCTTATGGGGCTTTTAGCAATGTGTAATGCTGTCCATGATGGGTTTGAGTAAACTTAAAAGTAAGATAACTCATGGACCACCTGAGCTGAGAGGCCAGTGCACCGGGCAGTTGTGTTTGATGACAGAAATACAGATTGCTCACTTAGGAATGGGGAAGGCTATGTGCTGATAGCTATCTTTGCTGCTGCTCTTTCCTTAAAATGGGTGATGAATGTGTTTGCTATAGATAAGCCGTGGTTGAAACAGTGGTTTTTTGGTTGTTCTTTGGGGACAAAGCCCCAAAGACAGTGGGAGATGGTGTGAGACTGCCACCTACGGCGACTGGCGGGCTGCACAAGCTTGAGCTCCAGGGTGCCACCAATGCCGGCAGCAAATGTCTCTTAATGTTATGAAACTTGTGTTTTCATATTAAACACAGACATAGGTGTAATTATCCAGTGATTTTTTTTTTCTCTTCTCCATAGCATTCTTTGAAAGATTGTTTAAATAATATGTGTGGTTTAGATTGTGAAGTATGATTACAAGTAGAGAAACGAAGTTTTCTTCTGCTTTAAATGCTGCTGGCCACCTGCAGTGCAAGTGTGTGTGAGTGCAGCTGGTGGCTGGTAAATAGATAATGGTACCGTACTAATTCATTTATCCTGCAGAGTGTGTGGCTTTCATGTATTCCCATTGATACTGTAAAATCGAGTCTATGGGTGTTAGAATTCAAGAGAATAATCAAACTTGCAATCAATAAGTCATTGAGAAAGGATTTACTTGACTAGCTGTAGTAAAAACTAAGGTGAGTGAAACCAACACTCAGCATACTTTGCCGTTGCTGTATTCTGAAAACGCCCTTTTGGATTTTTTGGCTGATTTTTGTGTCTTTCATACTTTTCTTTCTTAAAACTGAAGTAACAACAAATGAAGGAGAATAATTTTCTTTCTTCGGAAAAGAGTTATTTGTAGAACTGAGGAAAGAGAGCTTAAAATACATCTGTTTTTTATCTGAAATGAAAGAACATTGCCAACCTGGAATCTGAAATGCAGTACCTGCCTAGGCATCGCCACAGCCTCTTTGATTGCTCAGATAAATGGGAGCCTGAGCTGTTGGGATGCAGGATGTTTGTCAACTCTGGGTTCTGCTGTTACCAAAAGCTGTCTGAAATGGAAAATGAAGATAGGTAAAATTAGTATAGCACATATCCCATACTTCAGGCAACAGATGCTGGTGCGTGTTGCTCTGTAAATTTTATCCAACTCTATTCACCTCCCTGTTGAGTTCAGCCAGTGTCCTGACTTTTCTAGCAGCACTGCAGTTATCCTGAGGGTTCAAGCAATTTCACCAATCATCCAGAATGACAGATACAATTGGAAGAATCCTGGGTAAAGCTCTTGGGCTTTGGAGAGACAGTATTCTTTGCAGCCAGACTCTTGTGGTGGGAGGCATTATAGTGAAGCCAGAATGATATTTAGTGAGGAAGCTGGCTCCAAAGTTCTGCTAGGAATTTGGCTCTTCCTCCTCCCCACCCCCTGCGCCAGGTTTTCATCCCTGAAAACAGGGTTAGAAATTGAGAATCTCAGAACAAAGTGTCTCTGGGATACGTGGGATTCATGTCTATCACATGGTGTACACAGATATAACTAATGTGCCAGCACTTGAGTGGATAGATGTAGCTGAGCAGAAGCTGTGACTGCTCAGCACAGGGCTAATAAGCAGATGGTATCAGTACAGACCCCATACCATTAGCGTGGACTCAGTGCTGCACTGACTCTGTCACTTGCCCATGGGGGTGCACATGGCCTTTGCATTTGCTCGGAGCATGGGCAAATGACGTTTGCTGTACTTGCACTTTGCCATGTAGATGTACTTCTGTAGCCTTACATGAATAATCTGTCAGAGTCCTAGAATAATGGCTGTTTTAGGAGTATTTAACATAGAACTGATCTTAAAATGTAGATATGGTAGTGTTTGCTCATGTACAGATATTCTGGCCAGCTCTTACAGCTCAAGGCCGAGACAGTGGAAATTTATTCCAATGGGCCAGTTTCTCACTTAGTTATGCTGATCTGGGTGGGGTTATATGAATGTAACCGAGTGTAGAGTTTGGCTGCTGATGCATGCCAGCTGTGTGAGAGTCAGTGCCTAGTTTGTTAGGCTAACGCTATTTGGAAATGTAACTCTGTGCTTTTGTTTCTTTGGATCTATTAACATATGCATATAAGTCCCCATATACATCCGTCAGTGCACAAATAAA